CCGTCCCGTCGATGGCCTCCATCCCGTTGAACTTCCCGTCCGGCGGAGGGGGCCCGGGCTCGGTGGCGGCCCCGGCCCCCCAGGCGCGCTCGGTGGCGGCCGGACCCCCGGCCGCGGCCGCGCAGGCGCACCCGACCGGCCGCGCGGCCCCGCCGACGCAGCACCCGCCACAGCATGCCGCCTCGGGGGTCGGGGCGTCGACGCCGGGGTCGCCAGCCGGCGCCAGCGCCCCCGCCAGCGCCGCTCGGCCGGACCAACGTATCTTCCACCTGCCGCATGGGTTTTCCCGGTTCTCGGCACACCTGCAAGCTGACGCGGCCTCGGTGGCCGCCTTCTCGCTGGTGCGCGTCGCCCGGCGGCCTGTCCGACCGGCCGGCCGGCCGGCCGCCCCCCATGTGCATCTGCTGCCACGATCTGTGCCCCCCACCGCGGCGCGAGCCTCACCGTTTGTCCGGCCCCTCCCCCGCCTCCCTCCCCTCTCGCCCCGTGCGCCGGGCCGCTTGGCATTTGCACGTCCCCTCGGCGCTCCTCCCCCCCCCCGCCCCCCCGCCCCGGGCGCCTGGGCCAAATAGGATCGCGTGCATGCGTTTGATTGGTTCCGCGCGCGCTTTGCCCTGGGCCCGGGCGCGGGGACCGGCGTGGGTCCCCGGCGGCCGCGGCTTTTCGACCTGCGCGATGGGTCCTTCGCCTGCCCGGCGGTCAAGCTCGGCCTGACCCTGCTCAACTTGGGGGTGGTGTGTTCCTTCACGTCGCCGGCCCCGGCGGCCGGGGCCGAGGATGGCGCCGGCCCCGCCCCGGCCACGCACCACATCGACCTGCTGATTTTTTGCGGCCGCACCGCCGACGGCCTGACCCTCGGGCCGCACCTGGACATCCGGACGCAGGATGAGCCCTCGGGCCCGGGCGACGCCGCCGAGCCGGCCTACCGTTTGGCGCTGGCCGCCGGCAACCGGGTGAGCCTCATCCTGCCGGCCTCGGTTCGACGTACGTGCAGCAGGCGCGCTTGCCCCTTTCCCTTGCCAGCTTCCGCCCCCGCCTTTGCCCCCGCCGCGGGGGGGGGGGGCCCTTTCCCGGCTCCGGTTCTGACGCCGGCTGGCTCCTCCTTCGCGTGTGCCGATCGCCGGTGCAACCAGTCGACAGTGGCACCATCAATCCCCTGCTGGACCTGGACCTGATGAACAGCCTGTCACACAGCCTGACCAACTTTGCCGACCGGTGCGTCGAGCCTCCCTGCCTGCCTGCCTGCCTGCCTGCCTGCCTGGCGGGGCCCGGCCTGCCGCGGCCCCTGCCCCCCTGCGCAGCTGACACTCCGACTGCACCCCCCCCCCCCACCGGCACATGCCACACCCCCTGCAGTCGGATATCCACCCTCATTGGCGGCGTGCGGCTGGGCGACTTCATTGCCTTCCCTCAGGACTCGCCTTCCTCCTCCAGGCACGTCTCACCGCCTGGCGTGGTACAGGCACCCGGCCTGCTTTTTGCCCCGGGCCGATCGCCCTTGCCTTTGCGCCTGTTTTTGTGCCAGTCTTCTCGCTTCCGCCCCCCCCCCCCCACTCACCTCCCGTCCCTCCCCCTGGGGCCCACACACACACACACACACACACACACACACACGCCAACACGACAGCCTCCTGTCGGCTGTTCGGCTGAGTGGCGACTGGTACGACCAGCCGGTCAGCCGCGTGGTGGTCCACTCGCCAGTGGTCAGCCTGGACTTGGTGCCGCTGGCGCGACTGGTCGGCTGCTCGGTCCCCCCGGGCACCGGGATGGCCGCCGCCGCGGCCGCCACCGCCCTGTCCTCCATGGACCCGGCGCACCCGATCAACCAGTGCCACAATTTGCCCGGTACGTTGGATGCCTTCCGGCGGGTCGCTGCCTTCCCTCCAATCGGGCCGTCGCTCTGACCGGGTTGCTGTTCGGTGCCTTCCTGTTGGGCCGCTGCCCCGCCGGCTGGGGCCGGGCGCCAGTCTTTGTCGCGCCGTCCGGCGCCCAGGCCACCGTGCTGCACGGGGTGGGGCCCCTGCCGGCGGCGGTGCTACGCGCATGGGCCTTCGTCTGCCCGGGGCTCTTTTCCCTGTGCCCGGGGAGCTGCCTGTCGGGGCTGAGCCGGGCCTCGCAGGCGTGGTCCCCGCCGGGGCTCATCTCGCAGATGCTCTCCTTCCTCCTGTGCGAGGCGGACTTGTCGGCCGTCTGCTGTGCCCAGTGCGCCCAGGGGGTGGTCATCCAGTACCACCATGCGGCCGATGCGGGCGGCGCGCCGGCCGGCGACCCCGGCGACCCGGGCCCCGGCCGGTCCTTCTCCGTGGTTCCCATTGCGGCGATTTACTGCCAGTCCAGCGTCACCCTCTCCCAGAGCATCAGCCCCTGCTCGGCTAGCTGGTTCACCGAGACCCCCGGAGCGGGTGCCGGGCCGGGGCCCGGGCCGGACCCGGCGGCAAGCCCCGCCCCCGGCCCGACGGCCACCCCGGCCGGGGGCGACCCCAAGCCCCGGGCCCCGGCCGCCGCCGCCGCCCCGCCAGACCCGGCCTACCCCTTCCGGCCGTTTGCCCCGTCGCTGGCGGACTACTCCTTCTACCAGAGCCAGCTCATCCACGAGGCATTCACCTTCAAGTCGGTGGATGCCCTGCAGTCGGCCCTGCGGCGATTGGCCCGGCTGCGGGTGGGGGACTTTGCTCGGGCTGGCGGGCCGCCGCCGCCGCCGGCGGCCGACTATCCCCCCCTGCGGTACCGACGCCGGCATGCGACTCGGCCAGAGCCGCGGCCCCTGCACAGCCTCATCCTGCAGGCGCAGCAGGACCCGGCCCTGCCCTGGCCCCTGGACCCGGCGCACCGGGGCTTCCATGATGATGATGACTTCGACCCGGCCGACGGCGCGGCCCGGGCCCTGCCCTCGTATGACGAGGCTCTGGCTCTCTTCCTCGGGGCCGACGCATTCGGGCGCATGGACACCGGTCGGTCGCCGGGCGCGTCGGAGGCCGGCCTCACCGAAGCCAGCCCGGCTCCGAGGTCGGCGGGTGACAGCCCGCCGGGCCCGGGCTCGGCTTTGTCGCCGCTGCCGCCGCCGTCGCTGCCGGCCCCGCCGCCGCCCCCCCCGCCAACACCACCACCGGCCCCGGGCAATCGCTTCTCCCTGGAGAGCTACTGGCGCTCCCGGTCGAGTCTGTTGGAGCGGTCGAACTCCGGGCCCCTGCGGGCCCGAGTGCGGCCGGCCACCAGCAAGGCCGACTCGCCGGCCATGACCACGGCGGCCATGGCCACGGCAGGTGCACTGGGGGCGACCTCCTTGCCCGGGGCCCCGGCCGCTGGCGGGGTGCCCACCGCGGCGCCCTATCAGCCGGAGTTTCTCTTTCCGGCCGAAACCCCGGACTATTTGCCTGGTACGCGCCCGTGCTGAATGCGAGAGACGGGGGGGGGGGGGGCCGGGTCGGGCGGGAGCGGTAGGCGAAAGCAAGGGGCCCTCCTTCTCCGCTCGGTTGTCGGTCAACCGGATGGGATTTGATCTGGCTCGCTGACCCTTCGGCCTTGTGTCCGGGCACCGGGACCCAGTCCGGACCCCGCGCGCGGAGAAGGCCCGCACGCGCATGGAGGCCGCCTGTGCCGGCGGCCGGCCCGGACTCTCCTTCTTCCCCTCGACCCTGGCCCCGTATAGCGTGTCCTCGCCAGGGCAGTCGCCGCCGAACTCGGGCTCGGCCCTGCTCAGTCCGGCGGCTTGCCCGCCGAGCGTCTCACCGCAGGCCGCTGCCCCGGGGGCTGGAGGACCTGCCCCCGGGGCCCTGGGGCCTACGCCTGAGGCGCCTGCCCCGGGTCTCGGCGGAGCCAGTGCGTCCCCAGTGCGCCGATGGCTGGCTGCTTTTGCCTGTCTCACCGGATTCCCCCGCCTTTTCGTCCCCCCCCCCCTCCCCCCCCTCCCCTCCACTCATGTGGTCCCCTCGGCCCGGCGTTTGCAGGCCCCTCCTGCCCGGGCGACGGCCATGGTGCCCCTTCGCCGGCGGCGCGTCGGCCATCGCCGCTACCGGGCGACGGGGCGCATCCCCAGCGCGAGCCGGCTGGCCGAGCCAAGTTCGGGAAGATCACCACGGCGCAGCTCTTCGCCGGCCCGGAATCCGCTGTGCGCACCGCCTGCCCTGCCTTCCTCCATGCATCTCATCTGACTGGGGTTCCTTCACATCCTGACAATGCTGCCTGTCCTCCTTTTCCCTCCTCTCTTCCCTCTTCTCTTCCCTCCTCTCTTCCCTCTTCTCTTCCCTCCTCTCTTCCCTCCTCTTTTCCCTCCTCTTTTCCCTCCTCTTTTCCTTCCTCCTCCTCCTTACCCCCCCTGATCGATGGTCCACGCACATGCAGCTTTGGCGCGGCTACAGCCTGACCGGGCTCCGCTCAGCCCGGCGCCCGGATGGTGCCCAGTCTACCTTTCCCTTCCCCCAGCACAAGCGCAGTACGTCCGCCGGTGCGCCCTGGCTGCCATCTCCGGCGGCGTGTCGACTGACTCCTCCCGCCTCCGCCGCACTTGCTCCCCGGCCGCCGGGCCGCCTCCCAAACACCCAGTCTTCACCTCGCCCGAAAGTCGGCCCGATGCCGTGCCGATTGTGTGCTCGCTGACGGAGCCGGACCACTCGGCGGTCCTGCTGCAGCGCCTGCGCTTGGCCCTGACGGCGGCCTTCCCCCTGCGGCACCCGGATTTCCTCGGCGGCATCACCCGCCCGGGGTACCTGACCCTGGAGCAGGACTGGCACTTCTTGGCGTCGCCCCTGGCCACGGTGGGCGGCCCGTTGGCGATGGCCGCCCTGGCGGGCATTTTCTCCGGCGGCCGGGCCCCCCAGGAGGCCGGGTCTCCCGCCGCGGGGGAGGACCGCCGGCTGGCCATCGGCCAGGCGCCGGTGATGCCGGTATTCTGGCCGGAGATCGAGTGTCGCGTGACGGCCACCATGGCCTCGTCCGATCTGCCCGGCACGTCGACCAAGCAGGCGGACAACCTCAGCTCGCTGAATGCCTTTTCCCGGGTGCAGCTGAGCTCGCGGTGCGTGCCCCAGGCCATGGTGGCGCCCGATCCGAGCGCGCGCGTGTCCTTGCCCCCACTCTCCTTCTCTCGCTCACACACACACACACACACGCACACACACCCTCTTTGTCCCCTCCGGGCTCTCGCCCCTCTCTCGTGCCTGTCCTGCATGGCCCATTGCCCCGATCCATGCCGGCCTCCCCTCCTCCCCCCGGGGGCGCATCCTTCACGCGCGGCTCTCAGGTCGCTGCCCTTCTGGGAGGAGCTGGGCCTGATGCCGATCCACTCGCACTCGGCCAAGCCGGCACGCATCATCCCGGCCCCGTCGGCCCACTCGCTCGGGGACTATCCCGGGTGCGCGTGCCAGTATCGCCAACTCCCGGACGGGTGTCCGCTGATGATCGGCCGGCGGCCGGTCGACTCGGCTCGCTTCAACTGGACCGCCCCGGCCTGCATCTCGCACCTGGCCTGCGGGGTGAACTCCAGCACGGCCGACACGCTGGGGCTGCCGGCGCCGGGGCTGGGGGCCGGGCCGGCGGGCTCGCATCCCAGCGGCAAGGGCCCGGCCGGGTCGTCCGGGCCCGGGGCGGCCCCTGGAGCCGGGCGCTTCCTGCCGCAACAGCGGGTTTTCCACTCGCCGCGGGTGGACTTGCGCTTTGCCTTCGTCGGGGGCGCCCTGGCCGGGGCCGCGCAGCCGGGGCCCCTGTCGGCGGCTCGGCAGCAGCAGCAGCAGCAGCACCTTCTCCAGCGCCAAGCCCCGGCTCCCTTTGTGCCGGTCCCGCTGGGGGTGGCTACGGCCGCTGGGCTGGGCCCTGCCGCCGGGGTTGCGGCCCCGGCAGCCGGAGAGGCCTCACCGCGGCCGGCCCCGGCCGGCGCCCGGCCCAGCCCCACCGGGCCGGCCCTCTCGTCGGCGCACATTGCCCGCGCATCGCACACCATGTCGACTGCCTACAGTGTGCGTCGTGCTGCTTTCCGCGAAGGGGATTTGGGGGGGGGGGGGATCTTTTCTTTCTTGCTTCCTTCCTCTCGTGTGAGATGTTGCCTGCCGGGTCCCCTGTTGGTGCTGACATGGAGTCACAGAATTTCGGCTTCGGCCGGCTGGCGCCGCACCCGGCCGATGCGGCAGCCGCCCTGGCCCAGGCATTTGCCTCCCTGCCGGACTTCACCCTGCCCGAGACCGACCAGACGGGTATGTGTGTGTGGTCGGGTCCGGCCCGCTGTTGTTTCTCCTTTTTTTTCTCATCCCCCCCCCCGCCTCTTTCTCCTGCCTTTGGCTGTGGCTTGCCCGACTCACTCCCGGCTTCTGCTGCTGCTGCTGCTGCTGCTGCTGCTGCTGCTCTTCCGCTGGGCCTTCCGCTGGCCAGGCGCCCCGCGCCGGGTGGACATGGCCCCTCCCACGGTGTTCCTCCTGTCGGTGTGCGAATCGTATGCGGTGACCATCGCCGGCAAGCGTCTTCCCGATGGGGGTTTGGTGGTGGTCATGGTGCGTCTTGTGTGCGGCTCCGCGTCTGGCGGCCGGACCGTGGTGTCGCATCGCCGCTTGCCTTTTGCCACCGCTGGGCCCTTCTCGCCGCTTACCCTCTTTCCCTTTGCTGGCCATGGGCACATGCGCCGATGCGCGCGCTCCCGCATGCATCCCCCTATGCGTGTGCGCACGCACGCACACATACACACACACGTATATGCATACGCAAACCCACGACCACACGGAAACACACGGAAACACACGGAAACACACGGAAACACCTAGCCCTTCCAGCCGAGCGTCATCATGGCTCTCGCCAGCAAGGATAGCCAGCTGGCCCGGCAGCTGTGCCAGCTGTTTTACTCGACGGCCAGCCGGTTTTTGCGTCCCTTCGACACGCTGCCCCTGTTCCGGTCTCTGCCGCGCTCGCCGCCCAGCCCCTTTTTGATTGTCGGCCACGCGTCACAAATCCCGGCGGCCAGTGCCCCGGGCCCGGCCTCCCTGCTGCGCAAGGCGACCCCGGGGAAGCGGGGCCCAGCTCGCCGGGCCAGCCCGGCGGACTCCGGCCGTGCAGGCCCCCCGCCCGCCCGGCCCCCCTGCCGGCAGCAGGTCTTCCCCTACGGGCTGCCCGGCGTGGCGGGCCCAGGCTCTGGAGCCGGGTGCGGCTGTGCCCTGGGCCCAGCCCTGCCGGTGCCCCCGGCGCCCAAATCCCGGCGCACCACCCCCGACCCGCCGCCCTCGAGCCCCCCATCGCCACCCCAGCCGGACCGCTGGTATCAGGACCAATTCAATGCCCAGCTCACGTCGGCCCCCTCCTCGCTGTCGGTCACCCAGCGAGAGTATGTCCTTGTGGTGACGTACTCCCTGTACTCGTGCGTGTTGTTCCCTCTCGCACCAGCCCTTGCCTCCGCCCCCCTCCGGGGGTCCTTGCCTCCGTGGCAGTGGGTGCGGGGAGAGGGGGCCAAGGAGAGCCCGCGCCCCTCTTCCGGGCCCTTTTCTTACACACAGACACACACACACACACACACACACACACGCTCACCGGCACCACGGGGGACAGAAATTTCGTCTTCATCTCCTGGTCCGACGACCGGCTGTCCATTCGCGGCTCGGTGCGCCTGCCGCTGCTGGCGCATGACTCCTGCGGCCCGGTCATCGTCCGGCTGGTTTGGGCCTTCGTCAGCGGCCTGCTGAAGGACCGCTCATCCAAGCAGCAAACCCACAGCGGCAGCACACACGACTTCTGGCGCGTGGTCATCTTCTCGGAGGCCGGCTTCCCGCCGGAACACTTGCCGGGTATGCGCCGATTGGCAGGAACCCGCATGCGCACGCCTGCGGGCTGCTGTCCC